CCCCCCCCGCCCTCTCTTAACTTCGCAATTTCCATTTTCGCTCGTGTAATTCACGCGATCTTTAAGCGGCGCTTAACCCTTTGCGCTCGTGCGCGCGCCGAGTTCACCGCCTCGGTCGCGCGCGTTTCTTTCTGGATGATTTTACAAAAAGTAACTTTTTATCTTCTAATATTACACTCGATGTGCATGAGCATATATTGTTGTAAATACGGTTGCCGCATCGGTTAAATAGTGAAATTGATACAAACCGCGCAATATTGCTGCGGAGCAAATGCATTGGAGGGAGAATTCTTTTTTTTTTTCGTGAAATACTTCGGGCCGCAAAGGGTTAATTCGCGCGTACAAATCCTACTTTCGGCGCGCATCGTTGCTCCTACCGATCGATCGTCGTAAACTCGGTAATAAAAATGGTGAGGCAATGTACGATTATCGAGATCACAAAAAAGTTGAGTTGAATTTGCCTCTGATAATGAACAAGCCGAACGCGTTTTGGTTGAAGGAAATAGAATTTCTGGTTGTAAGAACCGAGCTTGGTTCGTAACGATCAAAAATTCTGCTTCCTTCATAATTTTGTACATTTGAAAAAACCCATGGGTTTCTTTTCTATGAATTTTTCCCGTTCCTTTCCCAAGGATAGAAAAGTTTAGAAAACATCTATATGTGTTCGGTTGAAAACTGCCTTATTCACTTCTTTCCGTAAAGAAGATAATCGCATACATTTAACTGAAGTTAGATGAATTAGATTGATTAATTAATATTATTAAATGAAGTTAAGTAAAATTAATATGACTAATAAAATGTTATACAATATATTGCACATTAATTAATAAAGTTAATATTAACTTCATTTACCTTCAAGTGTCCACAATTATCTTCTTTACGGAAAAGAGTAAACACGTGGTATAGGTTTTAGCTAAACGCACATGAATTTTTCTAAACGAATTTCTCCACCTTTGGGAAAGACACTGAAAAAATTCGCGGTGAAATTGGCGGAAAAAAAGCGGGTTTTTTAAAATGATATAGTTCCCTTCGACCAAAACACGTACGGTTTGTGCAACGTCGGGTAAATTCGACCAAATTTTTTTCTTTGCATGGGAAGAGGGAGAGAAGAGCCGTTTAGGAAGAAAATCCTCGAGTCTGCGACGCTTCGCACGAGTCGATGATCATCGGTCGGAGTTCCGTCGGCAGGCGGCGAAAGTAGTTTTGTACTCGAGGGTTGCGTCAACTTGATGCGCCAAGATCGACTTACACCGCGTGCATCCCTGAAGAGTATGGCAGCGTGAACCGGATCCAGACAAGCATCCGACGCTCGGTGAGGTATCGCGGGTGCCCCGAGGGACAGTCTACGAGCCGTGGGATCCAAGGAACTCCTCCTGATTGCACCTGAAATCAGCAAGCGCGAATTAACACATATAGTTGTCACAATTCCCGGAGAAATTGGCGGCGAGAAATTTACGAGAAAAACCGAGCGGGAGTTCTCCCGACGAGACGACAAAGACGGGCTTCTCTTTACCGTCGTCGGGGCTTTTTCTTTCTCTCTTCCTCTAAACGAATTACACGCATCTATTGAGCACGAAGCGTCGAAGATCGAGCCGTCGATAGACGTGTCACGTGTATCGTGTTGTCGTCAATCCTGTTACAACGGCTGCAATTAATCCAATTCCAGTCGTACGTTTCGGCCGTAATGACCTCGCGCAATATTAGGCACGGTCCGCGAATAGACACTACCGCGGAAGGATTGTCATTGCGCGGAAATTACGTAAAAACGTGACTGTTCTTTATTTACACACTTCAGCTGTGTGCACACGTGGAAGCGCGATCGGGGGAACTACGACGACGTCTGACTCATCGGCCACCGGACGTATCGCTCGCCGAAAGAAAGGAACAACCTACAGCCATTATGCGGAGACCATCAACCATCATTCCTCCGTTCTCCAAGTCTCCCTCTCTCTCTTTCGCGCGCGCTCTAGTAAATATCCGATAAAATCGCGTAATTAGTCGTCGCATTTTTTCCCTCGGCTTAACTACTAAATTCACACCGGCGAAACGCAAACAACGAAATAGGCGTTTTACGGCTGATACATTACAGATGATAAAAATGTCACTTTATGCAAATGACATCCGCTGGCTTCTCGTCCCGTTTTTGTCGAAGGCGCGTTACGTAATCAACCGTTAACGGGGAGAGCAGCGAATCCCAGAAAATAATGTTCTTTCTCTGCCAAAGGCGAGAGGCCTGCCTGCGGATCGCCCGAGGCAACGCGCGCTCGAATTTCTTTCCCACGCGCGAGAACGCCCCCCGCCCGTCTGTTCGTCCCGTCGTACCGCCTGCCGATAAACGGTTATTAAATCCGGACTCATCGCGTGTTCGTTCCTAATAAACGCACAATATCCCCCCTGCGTCCATCGCTGATTTTCCGCGCGGCCTATTGTTTCCCGTTCAGACAGAAACGACAGTTTGGAAATTGGCGCCGGCAAGCGTTCGTTCGTTCGTTCGTTTCCCGGCCGTGAAAGCGCGCGTCTTTCGTCCGAGGGCCGTTGGAATTTGTTTTTCTCCCAGCGAAGGCCGTTTGCGCACGTTTCTACGATTAAATCCGCTTCCTCAGCGTGAGACGTTCGAGCGATATCCCGCGCTTTATCGGCGGTGTTTATTTCACGAGTGCGTCTCGCGATACCGCCCGTTTCGTCGTCGTTAAGACGAATGTTAGCCACAGACGCTTGCGAATTGTTCAAAATCGCCGCGGTGAACGCGATACGCGCCGCTCGGATAATGCGGAACGATAATAAACGCGCGCAGAAGCGCCGGCGGAATTTCAAGTCGCCCCGTACGAATAATCTCCACCGTTCAACGAGAGCCGGTCTATATAATTTATAATAACTTTCTCTCTCTCTCGGAGGACAAATAAAACGCGAGGAAAATACGCTTCCTACAAAACTGTTGAAAGATCACTCGACACGTTTCGCAACATTAACTGAACGTCAGGTGAAAGGAAGCGGAATTGATTTTATGTTGTTTTGAATAAATGTAACATGTACAAGAGGCGGACGACGAGTCACGTCTCGATCGTGGCATTCGTAATACACAGCAGTAATGACTACGTCAGGTCAGGTCAAGGCGAGCCTCCGTGAGGCTTATATCAATATATCAATAATCACAGAGCTTTATGAAGGTTGAACTTGCGAGATAGCACACGACGAGAGCAATTCGTGGCCGTACCAAAAATAGAATCGAAGGATCGGCATAAAATGTTCGGGAAATATCCGTGATTAACGAGAGAGAGAGACAGTGAAAAGAAAGATGAAGAGTATCTCGAGATATAAATATGTACAAAATGTTCTTACATTTTCGCGTAAAAAAATATGTACGCATATTTTCACATACCACAATTCAGGTCGTAATCGAATATTTATAGATTCAAAAGTTGACGTAAGATCTATAAATTTTCCAACTACGACTTTTGCTAAAAAAAATATAGATATAAAGTGGACAACTGATACACGGGCAGGACCTTTCGTATCTCCGTGAATAACAATTACCGCATTATATGTGCATTGACATTACCGCACTCGCGTCGTATGTCGTAATACTCCGCATCGTTTAGACACACACAATTTTCGCCTACATCATGTCACGGCGCTAAATTGCCGTCTCCGCGTGTACACGAACATGTGTATGTCTGCACCAGGACAATGCAGCTGTACAGGCGGTGAATTTAACGACACGAGAGAGAAATTTCCGCGCGCGCGTCCGACGCGAAAACATATTGCGTAACGAAATGCGGCCGGAAGATCGAAATGGTACACGCACAAATATACACACACACACCTGGCCAAGAGAGAGAAAGAGACATACGATTGTCAATTATTCATATATTCAAAACGCGAATCCTCTCTCTCTTTCTCCTTCGCTGTGTACAATAAGAAGATGTAAGACGTATCTTTTACCATAATCCTATCGTAATATCCGTGACAAATGTTGCGCGTCTCACTAACGAGCGCGTGCTCGACTTGCACTCGGCGCCGCGTTCGTCGAGATTCACGAGCGCGCCTCTCGTTACCTTGCCTGAGTATGCTCTCGTAAATCCTGTATGTGGTCTCGCAGTCGGCCTCCTGCAGGCCGACGGGATGCCTGGCGCTGCCGTCGAGGCTCTGACTGCGATTTCTGAAGTCTTCCTCGCGCTTCTTCGGGCTCTCCTGGCACTCGCTCTGCCGTCTGATGTGGCCGAGCCTCCTGCCGAAGTGCCGTATCATCTCCTGTATGCTGTGGTGATGGTGATGATGGTGGTGATGCTGTTGCTGCTTCTCGTGCTCGTTGGTCGGACTGGGCGATGTCGGTGACGCCTTGCCGCTGCTCAGGGTCTGATGATGGTGCTGCTGCTGATGATGATGATAGTGGTGCAGGGGATGATGATGGTGGTGGCCGTTACCGTGGATCGTGTGGTAGACGGAATGATACGCGCCATGATTGGAGGAGTTGGAGCCGTGCGAAGAGCCATAGGACGACGAGCCGTAGGAGTAGGCCGAGCTGACCGAGCCGCGCGACACGTGTCGCTCGTGGAGATACAGCTTGCCGTCCTGCTTCTGATTCAGTAGCTCCTGAAGTATCTTCGTGTCGTGATTACGGGTGTCCGACGACGTGGAGGAGATGGAACTTCTGGTGTCGGTGCCGTTGTCGGACCCGTGGTGAGATAACAGGTGGCTTATCCCGTGCATCTCGGCCTACGTAGCAACTCCTGCGAATATCCGATCGTCGCGGCGACGGTACCGTTGAGGAAGCACCCGGACGATTCCGGAATTTTCATCGACGTCGTGGTATCTGCAATGAACGGTGTAGTCATTTCACGGGGGAAAAAGAAAAGGAAGAGAATAGCCACTGTCGTTAGGTACTGCCAAGAGAGAAAGAATGAGAGAGAGAGAGAGGGAATGTGAGCGAGTGAGACATATAAATAGCGCGATAACATAATCGCGTTGTTTATCGATCGTCTCGCTTCTTCCTCGGTGATTGGGCGCCCAACAATCTTCTCTCGCCGCGTATCGTACAATTTCACGTATCTGTAGGCGATATACAAGTGCTCGTCTGTCCCACTTGGCATATCGCGTGTCAATGAGCGAGCCGGCGGCAATCGACATCTCCGAGGCTCGCGAGGAGCCTTTCAAAGGAACATAGCTAATAATAATATACCCGTTTGCGTCACTTGCATTAGCGTGATCCTCGAGAGAGCTGTCTAAATAGAGTCCTCCTTTTGCTCAGACAAACGCGTCGCTACAAAGCTCCTAAGAGCGCCCTACACCCACCGTGATTAAGTCCACACGCTGAAAATTTAAGAAGGGAATTCCTGGCGACGCGCGGCATTGCGTCGATCGGGCGGAAAGTCCAACAGGAAGAAACGCGAATCGCACTTGAGCCAAGCAGGCGTATTAAATTTTGGCAGACGCGCGATCGCGATTGGCCTTTTAATAAACTCGCAGTCGAAACGGCCGAATTTCTCGTGACGAGCGCTTTTAGCAAAACGACGTCTATTCTTGCGTCTCATAAATTGGCAGGATAAAATAAGCAGGATTCTAATATATTTATTTATTGCTCATTTGTTGCCAAATGAAAAAATGTGTTGCTCTGTTAACCTTCGTACATAGAGAACAATTTTCCAGTGTTTTCTTTTAGAAAAGTTTTCCGCTGTTGTTTAAACTTATTTCGTAAAAACCTCGAGATTAGTATATTTTATGAGTAACTAATTAAAAAGAGATTCCTACATTAATATTATTATGTCGAATTTCGTTGCTGTACATATATAATTATTCTGCTAACTTTGACCTCCCTTTAGCAGAACATTATTTTTAAAACAGTCTATTAGAGCAATACATTTTCTTGGCAACTTTTCAGTAACAAATTAGCAACAACTTAACAAATGCAGTATTAGTTAAAATTGATTCGGCTTACTTTGCTTCGTTATCTTATAAGATAATTACATGCGTCCTATTTCTGCACGCTCGATTGAAATGTGAGACGCGATACGAAAATCAAAGTACGAAAGTGGAAAGCACGACGGTAATCTTACACTTGACATTACGCCGGCAATTCTCACCGAACGGATCTCCTCTTCGGAAACCGAGCTGTCTTTCTCGGTCTCTCCTACAACGACCACGTCGCGATAAACGAGATATTGCGGCGCAAATGTAACAGTACGATTCTTACGTAACAAGTGAGGAGAGGGAGAGAAATGAAATAATTACGTCAATGTTGGATTTTTCTTTTTACATAAAATGCGATGCGTTTACGCGAAATGCGCGTGCACGCGGCACCGAAGAACATGAGAACTCAGAAGGAAACGTTTATGACACGAGACTGATTGCGTGATTAGCGGAAATAGTCAGTGCCGCCAATTATT